ATACATACATAAATACATCAATACATGTCTTTATCTGTTTGTTCAGGAAAATCTTGACTTATCATCGGCCATGTATGTACTTACTGCTTGCTATTCGCGTATTTATGTACTTCGAACTCGTTACATCTGCAGCCACACACACATGGTAATTCGCATGTACATACATACGTACATGCATACATATACACAGGTTGTCGCCCGCAAGTAGGCGTACCATCAGAAATAACATGCCCCTTTGCATGCATATGAGGCCGTGCAAGCTGACCCAACGGTCAGTGTCCAAGAGATTAGCCGGAGGACCAGAAGTACTCTGTCTCCTTGGAGAACTGCTTCCGTCCGAAGATGGCAGGCACGTAGTTCTGACTCACTTCCATGCGAGCGATTTTAATGTCGGCGTAGTCCTTCAGGGTCTTTGCCAAGACATCCATCACAGCAGATGCAATGTGCTGTCTTTTGCGCTGGTCGTCGTAGAGCTCCAGAAGCACGTCAGAGGTGCTGCCATTAATCCTTACTTAGGGGTACTTCACAGTAGCCTCCCGGATTTCATAAGGATGCAACTACGTGACCCAAGAGCCAAGAATCGGGTCGCATAGCTTAATATAGGGGCCTTAATGACTAGAATAGGGTTTGGGGGTTACAGTCTACTCTAGTTATAATAAGGCACCTCCTCAAAATAGTATTGGTCAGTAATTATTTAGGCCCCTACATTAGCATCTTCTTAGGGGCTGAGTACCCTAGCCCAAAAAAGGCTAACCTTTTGAATTATAGTAGGATTATAGAAGCCCCAAAAGGTTAAAGGTTACCTACTCAGCCCCTAAGGAATGCTTACTTGACAGTTGGGGATCTCTCGCTGGTAGGTCTTCCAGACCACTTCTAAGGCTTGGCCACGTACCCACTTGGAGCTGTTGGTCACGAGACCCGACTCCTTGGGGTCGAAACTGGGAGCTGTAGAAAACGAAGGGGTACCTTATTTTGGGGTCCTTATAATAAGGATCCTACTATTTAGGGTACTATACTAGGGTCCCCTATTTTCGGAAACCCGAAAATGGGAGCTGCAGAAAACAAACATCATGAAAGTGAGGCTATCTTTGCTCTTCTTATTCTTATTGTACTCTTGCTATTATTTGTTGTTGTTCTTAGTATTATTCTACCAGCAGATGTAGCTCTGTATATACTACCCTTAGATACCCTTTAAAGAAGCTACTCAAAGCCAAGGCGCGTGAGAGGGGGGCACACGACCGGCCAAGACGCGCCCGAGCCAGGAACTCATCTCCTTTGTGGCCCGCTTGGGGCTGCTAAAGAAGCCGAGCACCGTGCGGTTCACCGGCTCCTTAAAGGGGTAGGCGTATCGGTCCCCGGCGCCAAATCCTAACTTGCGGGTCACACCGAAGAAGGGGAAAGGATAGGGCTCGTGGCTGCCATACTCGCGCTGGTAGTAGGAATAGGACTGGTCCATGACACAGCAAAGAATGTGCTGCGAGGCGTTGGTGCCTCGGCGCTTGCTGCAAAGGCTGCGGAATGCCGTAAGAGCAGCGTTGGTGGCATTCGTGTTGTTCGTATCTGAGTAGTTCACCCAGAGAACTCCCACGGGCATCCCGATTGCTCCCAGTTGATCCCTCAGGTCCCAAGTGTAGTTTTGCAGCATCGGCTGCGCATGTACGCGTGCGAAGTGTGCCAGGTAAGTCGCGTTCAAAGGCGACAGGCTAGCATCAAAAGGAATCGCCGGAGTGTCAGCTTGGACATCTGACCTCCAGAGCTGGATAGAGGAGCTTCTGAGCGGGCCTATGGCTTCCATTGCAAAAGCCGCTGTCCCCCTCAACTCTCGCGCTGCATGCCGGAAGGCCGTTGCATTCACCCCCGACCCGATGACAGCTGTATCCCATCGCCGTCGAAACTCGGCAACTTCGCCAGAAGAGAGCTCAGAGACGGCCTTGGGCATTAGCAAGGCAAGGTCCCGCTCAAAGCGGTCGAAGTTTGGCTTTGTAGTTTGGCCCTTGGGGGTGTGACCCGGCATTCCTGCCATCGGGTCTCCCATCATGGCTGCCTCATCCATCTCATAGAGCAGTTGCACTTGAAATGTGTAAGGCTCATTGAGGGGCTCCTCTGGCTTGAAGACATGAAGAGGGCACTTGCTCTTGTGGCACAGGTGCAAGCCGTCTTCCCATACGCTCCTGGCAAGGTCTTTTTCCTCCCGGAGGTCCAAGACTCCGAAGACCACGTCAGCAAACTCCTCCTTGGCACCTGCTACCTTGCTCACCTGGCATGTTGCGCATGCTTCCGGCTGACATCGCAAGCTTGAGACATTTCTAAGCCTCGTTTCCCAAACTTCAAGCTGCTTTTTTCAGGGAACTTAAGCTGAAGAGACATAGGGCGGAAAAAGGCTGGCACATCCCAGCCACCTTTACGAAGGCCTTGTCCTTCTCCTCGCAGGCTGTGCACCAGGGATATCGCATGGCGACGACGAGGACCGAGGCTTTGGCAGCCTCTTCCAGGCTTCTGCCGTTGAGACGTCGAAGGTTCAGGGCTCGGGGCAGCTCGACCTCATCCTCATCCGGCAGGTTCCTCAGCTACCGCTGACCACAAGGGGAACAAAAAGGGAACCGTGTGCCTCCATGAAACCTGGTTTAAGCCTTTTTTGGGTTTTTTTTGGGGTTTAGGGCGTCTCGGGTTTATAGGGTTTAGGGTTTATACCAAAGTTACAAAGAGCCGTTATAAAGGGGGCTAACCAAAATGTCCTGAGCAACTGGCAAGATTCCGATCTTCTCGCTTCCAATCTCTGGGGAGACCAAAGGACGTCTCATCCATAAACGGACGATCCCACCTGTGTTGGATCCTGAGTTCCGGAATTGTTCACTTTAGGGTTTACCTTAACCCACCAGAACCTACTTTTTTGCAGGTTCCCTATAAATCCCACATTAGGGTTTATAATAAGAACCTACAAAAAAGTGGGTTTTGGTAGGTTAAGGTAGGGTTGAGGGGCCCCAGCCCTTCTAGAAGATCGCTTTCAGCAGACACGGCAAGCCTCCGAACATGGGAAGATCAATGGTAACAGTGCAGATTTAAACCGACAACTGCCCTTAATATCTTGCCTCACCTGTCAGAAGCAGGAAAAAACGCACAAATCTCTACCTTTGAACCCTGAGCCCCACAAGCAAACCGACCTGAAGACTCTTCCGGCCCCTTAAGGAACATACCTTAGAGTACGATCGGTAATCGGAGGCACACTTCCTGAGCAAACGGGTCGTGGGCGCACGGAGAACCCCACACCCTCTACGAACCCGGTATTCGACCGCGTGCTATCATATGATTTTTCCGGGCGAGACTTTAGTGAACCCTCTGTAACAGAATCCTAGGAAGGCCAACCCCAAACCGTGAGCCCTAAACCCTAAACCCTAAACCCTAAACCTTAAATCCAAAACGACCATAAAACCCTTTGTCAAAAGCCGCAGCTCTCTGAAACCTCGACAAGCTGAACATCCCGAGACCCGACCCAAAGCCTTAACATCCTCAGAAACACCCTACTAAACCCTAAACCCTAAACCCTAAATCCTAAACCCTAAACCCTAAACCCTAAACCCTAAACCCTAAATCCTCTAGAGCCTTCAAGAGCCCCTATAGACCCCCAGTTACCTACTATGTAGGGGTACTAGAGCCCCCTATATAGGGCCCTTTTTTTGTAGGTACCTGGGGGGTTAGGGAGCCCTCCAGCCTTCCTTCCCCTCTCCAAACATCCCCAAAAACCTTCTGGGAGTTGGGATTAGGGGGACCCTTGGGGATATAGGCCCTCTCAATATAAGGTCCCTAGAGAGCCAAAAGTAGGGTTAAGAAGGGGTGCCCTTTAAGGGGTACCCCTAATAATACTACCTACCCTCAACCCCCCAATGCAGGACTGGAGTCCTCTTTCTTAGTAGGAGGAGCAGGCCCGAGACGCTTCCGACGCTGGGCCCAGTGCGCTCTGATCGCGAGGCCTCTGGTAGAATGTCCTGAATTTCGGGTTTTCAGAAATCTGGGGCCTCTGGTGTCCCGGCCTTTGGGCGTTTCGTTCGGGTGTAGGGCTTGAGGACCCTTTTTTCTTTTGCCTTTTGCCTGGCTAGGACGACTAGGGTTGAGGGCTTTTGGGCTCAAGGTTGAGGATTCAAGCTCACAGCTTTTGGGGTTGGGGCTTTGGCTCTGTGGTGTTAGGACAGTGGTGCAAAGTATCCCGTATACGACGCTAAGATGTCCTGAATCACAACGTCTACTCCCACACCATATCGTGTCCTACTGCTGTAGCAGACGCTGTCCAATCAGAAATAACTTGCCAAACCTGTGACGGCCGACCTCTGAAATGAACTCACTGAAAGATCGGCACCCCCAGAGGTCCTGAGTTGGATTCAGTCAACTTCCCCTAGCAGCCAACACAGCCCCAGCCGGAATCCAAATCAAAGACGACTATCGGACGACCCTAAACCCTAAACCCTAAAACCCTTTTGAGTCACGGGCTGGGGCCGGACGTCCGAAGCAAGCATCATATTGACGCAGGAGGCGGAACCCTAAAACCCTAAAACCCTAAACCCTAAACCGACGTCAGCATTCTCCTCTCGGAGCTCCATCTCCCACTGCAGCTTCTCTGCTGCTACCGTCCCGCTGCAGCTGGCCGCGATGGAGATTCGGTCGTACCTCACAGGAGGTCCAACTAGCTCAGTCATTACGGTTTAGGGTTTAGGGTTTAGGGTTTAGGTCCAGAAGGCCCGAGGATTTCTGAAATTCCCAGAACACGGGATTTGTGCATATAGAATTAGAGCTTGCGTGCCGGAAGGGCATGTCAGCACTGTAGGGCCTTGCAGAGTCACGGGGTCCAAAGCCCACTGAACCGGCATGCCGGTTCAACGCGGTTGGGAGCCAAGCATGGAGCACGCGTGTCCCTAGTTCGGCGCACTGGAACTCGGCTTCAACGATCGGTGTCTCTTCAGTGGTGCATCCAGGCCTCGTACCAAAGGAACTCAGACCGAAGTTGGGATTAGGCTGATAGTGTTGGGCAATTGTAATTGCACGGCATAGGGCATTGGGTACTTCCACTGGCCAATAACCCAAGGTAACTTCGGCAGCTTATTCCAGAAAGCGCCTTCACAGACATGCTCTTCTGCAAGACTCCGAATCTTCGACCTCTCAACATTATAGGGCTTCAGGGAGAGTCCGAAGGAAACAACAAGCCAATCCCGCACGTACTTCGAGCAAATTCTCACTCGCTGCGAAAGCCTAGATCTAATTTATCTACAGTCTGCACAAACTCCCAAGCACAAATTCCAAAGCCCCAAAAATACCCACAAAAATCCCAAGCCTTGAGCAATACTCAAAGCAGCAGCAGCAGCAGCAGCAGCAGCAGCAGCAGCAGCAGAAGTTCGGTTGACTCGTTGACAAAACCAAGCCACCATGGCTTCCATGAAACAATGAAACATGTGTACTACACATGTGAGGGATATTTGCCCAGACCATAACAGCAACTCCTACTACAGAAACCCCACTGTCCACCACACATATATCTATATGAATGTGTACATATACGTGTGTATAACCATGTTTTGCCTTCTTTTGTGGTATAGTTGCATATTAAGGAACCTAAAGGAATAGTCTTGGTACTTACCCAGGCCTATATATATATATATATATATATATATATATATATGGGGGACCCTTAGCCCGATCCCTTGCTTCTCTCTGCGGCTACGAGGCAAGTCTTTCAATCCGCGTGGGGGAGAGAGCTCCACAAAGAGACTCGGATGAAGGGGGTGTTCGTTGTGTCGGCGGCATGGGTTCTAAGGAAGCTACAAGACATTCACCTTGACAATAAGCGTTTTTTGTGGCGTCCAGAGGTCTTCAGGAGATGTCCTGGAAGGATACAAAGCCCTTCAAGCATATTCTTAAAACCCAAACCCCTTGTATGGTGGGCCAGGCTGGCTGCAAACCCTACACCTAAAACCATCATGCTTAGCTTTAGGACTCAGGGGTTGGGATCCATAAGGGGCAGCCCCGTGAATCCTGACAGCAGTATCAACTGTAACAGCAACACCCCGAGACAAGACAATCAAGCGCACCCTGCACGGTGAAACCCGTGCAGAATATCGAAACCCCTGCGGCCATAACCCCAAACGCTTGTCCCTCAACACTTCAAGCATAAACCCCTGAAGCCCGAGCGTCGAATTTACCTGTAATCGGGGTTTCGTCAGCGGCTATCAATGCGAGGATCGAATAAATCGGTGCTGGGCCTCTTATGGCTTCGGACTGCATCTTCAGATTGCAACAAGTAAGCAGCAATGTATAGTCTAGTATACCGTGATCGAACAAAATTTAGGATGATGTATAACAGATTGCCTGACCACCACGAAGTACTCTGCTGCAACTTGATGCGAAGCAATGCAACACAACATTGCGATGTGATAGGCTATGCTATGCTTTCTTTGCTATGTTGTCACATTATACATTAGACAATATAAAGTGATACGTTTCTCGTGTATAGTATGATGACATGGCATCGAATACCAAATCGTAGCAAAACATAACTTAATGGCAACGAGTGTACTACAAAACAAAATACGACAGATTATGATAACGCAGAATGATCATGTGGTTTATGCATACTGTACTTTCACCGACTAGAACATACTTGTTCTTTCCCATTCGCTTGGCATATTACTACGGCAAAAACGCATTGCACTAAAGCAAATATTCTACGATGCAAGAGAACACACTATAGTATCCTACGACATCGACAGGTATCATAAAATCCAGTGACCGAGAGCTTTGTATACAAAACCGTAAGCATGTAAAATGTAATACTCCCTATACACACACGTATATATATATATATATATGTATGTGCATATACAAAAATAAAGACTAGTATATTGGATTCTGAAATGTGATGTACTTTCCGAAAAATACGAAACTATATTGAATGCAACTTATATGCAGTATATCGTGGCGAAAAGCACAAGTCTAATATGCAATATACTTGAACTTACAAAAACGCACTAAACTGTCCCGATATGACCAATTATGTTGCGCCTCATAATTCTTTGTATCACTATAAGTGAAAGCTACAGTATCCAAAGGACGTGGTGTTGCTCTGCGCCCATCGGATGTGTGGACGAACCTCAGCGGTGGCCGCCGTGATGAGACAGGCCAACACCTCAGCATTTTCAATACAGTCGTAGAAGCATAGGGTCTCGAGAATGGAATCGGATCTTGGACATCATAGAAACATGGGCCTGAGAAACATAAAGTTCGCTTAGGGCTCCTTTACGCCGATGAACACCATAGTTATCTAGGGGCCACTAAGGGGGAACTATTAAACTAGTGCGACCTCTAGGCTCGTTTCATGGGTTTCCGGTTTGGAAGGCTATATAAGGGTTCTATACCTTCCTGCAAGACTTCTACTAAGGGTTCTGTGTGGGTTTAGGGCTTCAGGGCTGTATAGACTTTTAGGGTTCAAAACTCTGAAGAAGCTTCAGCTTCGAGACCAGAGCGCATTGAATCCTTTCCGATTTGTTTGCGTTCCGGAGCACTATAAACCCTAAACCCTAAACAAACTTCCTCGGCTGCAGGCCGGATAAGCTTAAAATCGTAAGGGAGCAGACCTACTGCAGCTCAGCAGCCAGAAATCCCAAAGGCGGCTTCCTCCAGCGGGCGCCATGGCATCGTCTTCGCATGGATGCAGTGGTGCTACGTGTGCAAGAGGAAAACGAGGCGTGACAGATGAAATGAAAACAGGTCATGCCAGCCGCTGCACGGCTTTCATTGGCTTAATGCCTCCGATTCTCGCATCC